ATAAGTTATTCTTTTACTTTTATTATAAGGTGAGTGTCATCCAATTTTGTATCAACTAATTGATGAATTTTATTAATTCACTCATCACACATGAATTGAGTTTCCACTGTGCTGTAGTTCTTGGGGCACAGTTGTGAGAAAAAAGAGACAGGGTGCTTCCTCTCCAGGACTTACAATCCCACATAGCAGATAAGAAAGAATGAAATAATCACCGAACATGTACATCTGCTTTGGTCATCAATATGATCTACAAGGGAAAGCTCTGGCCTGGTCCTTTATGCAATGAAGCTCCTCCAAGGAGATGATGCTTGAACTGAGTTCTGAAAGGGGACAGAAGGCACTGGGCTAAGATGCGAGACAGAGCGAGAAGAGCAGAGTGGGCAGCAGGTGCAGAGGCCACACAGTGGGAGGAGCCACGTAAGGAGGGGACCCTCCAAGAAGAAAGAAGAGGGTCAGAGTGCAGATCTTGGTGGGTGGGTCCCATGCTGGAGTTACAGATGAGGCACCTGAGGCTTCTGTTATTTGAGCGATATAACACAAAGGAGCCAGAGCTGGAGTGAATCTTATAGCCTAGAAAAAAGCCTATGGCTCTGGTTGACGTTTCCTCTAATGTGTCTGTCTGAGAAGGGCCATTTTATTATCCCTGATTGAAACATTAACAACATTATGCATTTCTAATCAAGCATATAGAATACATATACAACACCATGCTAAGTCTTCTACTAACAGAAGTGTTAACTAAGAATGTCCATAATAACCACACACAACCTTATTTAACTTCCTGACATGCTTCTAGAGTATTTCCAGTTAAGGAAATCTCAACAGCAAGAATAACTATGCTATTCTAAGTTGAGAAGATCATCTCCAGCCCCATGGGAAGATGATTTCAATGACCACAGCACAATGGATTGCATGCAGTGCTTCCTAGAACATATGCTTCGGGTCATCACATATTAGCAAACATCTCTAAGTTCAATATGGGAAATCCAAACTCTGCAAGTAATCCAAAGAAGCATTTTATTAGAGCTGTATTTGATGCATTTATGCCTTTGCCAACCAATTTTTTTAAAGTATGGTTTTCCTGCCTGTCACTCACATTTGAGGGCTTTCTTTTGAACACTTTAACAAGGCCTTTGCTGTCTGTGTGGGAGAAGGTGTAGATGTCTAGGTTGATGTCTAGGTTCATACATACACAGTTTTAAAAACTGGCACTTACCATAGGATCTATAACTAATATTATGCATACTTCTAATTGACTTTGGCTTTCTGTACTGGGTCAAATGTCCATCTGCTTTGGCATAGATGATTCAGGATGATTCAGGGTGGCGACCTTCAAAGTGTGCTTTATCTGCAATGTACTTTACCTCCCTATGGCCTGTGCCAAAAGCCACTTCTCACTGCAACCTTAAATGCCCTCCATATCATTTCTCAGCCTCCCTGCTCTTACCTGCACCGTGTCTGACTCCTTTCACTTCCAGGAACCCTAAATGCATCGCCTATCTGTCCCCTCATGGTTTTTTGCCTAGATCTTTTCCTTCCCTGCTCAAATGTGTCTCACAACTTTCACTCTTCACTTCTTTTTGTTAACATTTTGTCTTTCATCTTGGAAAAAACCACTGATAATTTACAGAGTCACTTATTCTTTCTTGAGGGACTCCGGAATAGATGTGGCCCAGATACTGACTGGGTATGGAGCTAGATGCTGGAATAAAAACTTTGGAAGCAAGCAGACCTAGGTTGAATCTTCATTCCACCAATCACGACTGTACTGCCTTGGCAAATTATTGAAAATCTCTAAATCTCAGCTTCTTCCTTAACTATGAAACGGTATAAAAAATCGCAGCATTACCCCATTCTCTTGTTGCAAAGATAAAGTACATAAATTACCTGGCACACAGTAGGTGATAACACTTGGTAACTCTTATTTTATTTCTAACAGGGCAACATAAAATAGGAAAATCCTAAGGGTGAACTTAAAAGATCAGAATTTTGCCAAGAGGGCGGGATGGTAGAGAGCCAGGAAAGAATGACACTAAATTAAGAAGTGGACAGATGATGAATAGGTTAACTTTGAGGAAAGATGGGAAAGTGCTCACTGAGCACTGGCTTCCAGGGTCCTACTGTAGTTGTGGTCATGATCTATTTAGGGGCAGGAAAGCAGTGTTGCGATCAGGTAAGCCCTCTGCATTCCTCTTATACCAGTCCAGCCCCTTCCTCCGCCAGCCAACCTGATGGACTTGTGTTCTTCCAAACATGAAACTGCTTTCTGTATGACTCAGTTTCTCCATGAGCTGTTCTTATTTCAACCAAAATAAATTGAAGTCTGTGTCACTTTGAGTGATTAGGCTACCAGTCAACTATTTTCATTTCTAAAGCTGAATTTCCACCTGGCTCGTCCACAGCATTAATCCTGGCAAGTCACAAGTTTCATGCTATAAAACTGTGATGGTTTTATTGACCAATTAATGTAGGTTAATGATGATTGTTTTTATGAAAGTTGGCAGGTCACTTTCTGGACGGCAGGCGAAGCAATGTCATCTCAGTCCTAATCAGAGATCATAAAATGCTAGAGCTAGAAGGGTCGCAGAAGCCTGTAGTCCCACCCTCTCAGTTAGGACAAGGATAATAAGGCCAAGAGAGGTAAACCTCTGGGTTAAAATTGCCAGCAAGAGAGTGACAGACAGGAAAACATCCAGAAAGACAGTCTTTTCTTCCAAATAGCTCGATAAAAAAAGCTCTAATCTTTTTCTCACAACCACAAAATTTAGGCCTTTCAAGTGCCAATGGCAAAAATGACCCTGGTAGGTTCTGTAAGGAACTGAATATTTTAAAGCCTAGATTTTCTCTAAGATTTTGATCAACCTTGACATTCTGTGGTGTTATATTGTATGAGATACATGGTACTGCGTGTATAATGACTTGTTTAAATTCTTTCTTTCCTGGACAGAAACTTCTCAAAACCTTAGTCCATGTCTTAGGCACTTTTCTCTCAATGAGACATAATCCCAGACACCCATAATTTATAGGAGAGAAGCTTCATTTTGGTTCACAGTTTCAGTCCATGATTGTCTGGCATCCTGGTAGAAACAGATGTCACAGGATCATGGTGGAGGAATTGGCATTCAATTTATGGCAGCCAGGAAGCAGACAGTGAAGGGAAGAGCTAGGGAGGAAGACAGCCCCTGCCAGGTCACACCCCTAGTGACCACCTCACCCAGGCCCCACCTCCTAATAGCATATTCAGCTACTGACCTTCTCAGTGGATGAGCATAGTGCCCCTGTGATCCAGCCCCCCTCCTCACACAGGAGAATTTTAGGGGGCATTTTAAATCTAAACCAAATCAGACTATGTTGTTTATCTTTGTTTTCCCTGTAGCCTTACTTATCTAGCATGTGCTCAATAAAAGATTTGCTGAGTGAATGAATGGATGAGACTTTTTGGAATTCTGTGAAGAGTAACCAGCTCCTTGACATAGAGGGCAAAGTGAATTTTAGAGCAGAGTACACTCTCATTTGGCCAGCAACATTTGAAGAAAGACCAAAGCTACAGTCAGATAGAGAAGGCTTCATTTTGCATTGAAATAATGAGAGCTTCAGCCTATCTTTGCTTCTTTTTCTGGAAAGATGACAATCTTTTCAAATCCTACTGGTATTTGTTTAGCTCAAGAAAAGTCTCTGAAGACAAGCTGAGATGTGGAGCCATTTTGACTGGGAAAATAGGTTTTATGGGTGAAGACAAAGTCAGGAAAACATGGCTGAAGGCCAGGCCACAGGTCTCGGTAGCTCTGGTAGTAAAACCTGAGGCTTCTGACCCAGCTTGCTACCCTCTTTGGGCCTAGCTCACCTCTACATTCTGCTGCAAATTCTTACCCTGCCACAGAGAAATGGACATGACAATCTGAGGTCTCCCACTTCTTTGAGGAAAACAAAGCAGTGGGAGAAACATTTCGACTCTACTCACACTTCAATAGATGGCATTTTGACTACCCTCTGCAGGGTTCTAGACCCTTTAGGCTATCACTGTGCATGTGCCATCTGGTGACTGTGTTGTCACCTGGACACCCCTATTGTAACTGAGCTGGAGGACTCTGTTGCCAGCACCCCTGTTCTGCCTGGCAACCTCTTGCTCTGAAATCTGGTTGCAGTGCTGATGGATTTCTTGAATTTTACTGGCTCTTGCTCAAGGCTGCTGATCAGAGCAATCTTAATCTTCCAAATGAGTCTGCCGCTGCTACTCCACACCAGCAGTGTACACCCAGCTTTCCACAGTGCTGGCTTCAACACAGGGCACTGAGGAGGTAGAGGCTCCCTCCCCAGGGCAGCAAAGGGAGACTGAATCTGCTTCCTTGTTCCTGGGATGTGACACACGCTGGCAGACTGGAGAAAGGTCTTCTACCTTGTTCAGAGAGTGCTGATCCCACTGAGAGCATGTCCACAATCCATCCTCCCTCCACTGCCTCTTCCTTCGGCTTCTCTTCTTCCCTTTCCCCTCATTTCTCCTTTCTTCCTTTCTCTGTTCCCTTTCCTCCCTTCCTCAAATATTTATTTATATTTATTTATTTATTTATTGAGAAGCTGCTGCACACCAGATATTAAATTGGGAGAGGGTGTCATGGACAGAACGAATACAAAATTTGGTAGAATCTGCCCCCTTTTTCAGGAGAACTCTGCATAGTCACGTAGTAGAGAGAGAGAGAGAAAGCAAAGTTGTGCACAGATGTAGCTGTCTGAAACCTACACGGAGAATCCCCGTTGTGTTACAGAGCTTTGGCAGAGCAGCACAAAGCAGTATATTTCTACAGAAGAAGGCATTTAAACAAAGCTGGGCATCTAAGAAGCCATCAAGTGGGGTATGGCTCTGTAGCCAGAAGGATGGGCATGGCCCATATTCTCCATATCCAACAATGTTCCTTCTGTTCTCTGATGTCTGCAGCCCTTCATCTCCTCCCCCTTGTGGCATCTGCTCGCTTCTGGAGAGCTCTTCTCTTCTGGGAGGCAGATCTGGCTGCCCCTCTTGCTAAGGGACTGTACTTAAGGACCATGACTCTGAGACTCAGAGAACCAAGGTCCCAGTCCCCACAATTTAACATATAGTGCAGACAGTGACAAGGACCTCTGTCTTCAGGACCCAGGTAAGACTATGCATTTTGAAAACAAACTTTAAACTCAGCCATCAACATTAAATCAACCTAGAAGCACAATTTTTAAAAGAAGATAAAAGTAGTTTGGGGACAGTTTCCAATAAGGAACAGTAGTACATTTTGGGAGGATTTGGAAAACAGCCTTTCAGTCCAGAGCCGATCAGAGAGAGTTTTATGAAGGAATTTGGGCTTCGGAACCTGACAGGAAGCCAGAAATTGAGCCAGAAGGTCAGGGTGGGAATTTTTGGCTGTGGAGAGCTCATCAGACTGGAGCTCCTCGAGGGCAAAGTCGACAGTCCTAGATTCCCTGGTATCCCTGCCTTGTCAAAGGCAGGAAAGGTGGCTGAGAATGGAGGTACTGCAAAGGGGGTGAGCACACAGGGCTGGGATAGAGCAGGGGTTGATGGCAGCCTGGCAGAGGGCCTTGAGGAGGGAGGCACTTGCGTGGCAGGCAGCCAGGTGCTACCCTGGGGATTCAGAATCCTGTCAGGTGGAGCTCATCCAAGGCATGGGCCACAGGAGCCTAGGGTCCGCTCTGCCTGAGAGAGGCTGTGACTTAGGGCAGGTTCCCTCACTTCACCCGTGTTCCCTGCCTTCTCTAGGAATCCAAGCTGGTGACAAGGCCAGACTAGAGCAGGCTGAGTGGCTTGGAGAGGCAGTAGAACCCATGACTGTTGCTGAAAGAAGAGAGGATAAAGCTATGAACTAAACTGCTGGCACTGAGGCATTGAGAAAGGGAGAGAAGCTACTGTTAGGTAACTAATTTGTCAGGAGTCAGTACAAAAATATCACAAATCAGGAAAAAGACAGCATCGATAGCCACTTGGTAGGTGTTTAATTTGTTTCTGGTGCTATAGATATGTTATCTGCTTCTAAAGTGGCCTTACTATCAAATCTGTCTCCCATCTCATGGACGGAGAAGCTGAGACTTAGGAGAGCAAAATGACTGTCTGAAGGAAACCCTGTAAATAAGGGATAGAGCTGGAATTTGCAAGCTTGAGTTTTCACTCTCGCCAGAAGACTTGGCCACTGCTTTATTTTGCCTCCCCAAATTGATTCACTCTTTTGGGGTTTTAAATGATTTTGTGCCATGGTGCTTCATGAGGCAAAGGGGGTGCCTGCAGCCCTCTGAGTTCAGACCCTGAAATCACTGACTGTGTGCACTTTCTGCAGGGCTAGCTGGAAGCCCAGCAGGGAAGCAGGGTCTGTCATCAGAAGGGGGCAAAGAATAAGAAGTCCTCTCCCTGGTGAAGTGCTTTCACAGCTTTTGCCTTAATTGATTCTCATGACAGCCTTGGGAACTTGGCATAGATTTTTTGCAAATCCCCATTTTCCAGTTGAGGAACCTGAGGCCTGGAGAGGAAAAAAGAATTGTTTAGGGTCATCTTACTGGAACATGGCAGGAGAGGAGAAACTGGTTCTCTTTTTCTGGTGTTTTCATCAGCATTGAGGTCTCCAAAAGGTGCCAACTTGCTGCAGGATTAGAAAGAAGACGAATGGAGCATGTAGGGCTGGGGTCCTAAGAGCTGAGGTGGGAGAAGTTCCCAGGGATGTGACCTTGTTCTCAAAGTCCTGACCAGAGTGAACCAGTCCCTGGGAGAGCAGCATAATCGTATGCCCAGAGCCCAGACGACAGTGCCAATGACAAGCAGCTCAGGAATGAATGAGCCACCTGGACTGGAGTACCCTGTGGTGTCCTCTCCAGATCTGAAGCAGCAGAAGAAGGACCCTTTACCATCCTAACTTTCCTGCTGCCTTAAGTCAAAGGTTGTCCAAAAAGTTCTGCTGATGGGTGTCTGCAAAAGAGACAGAATGCTCTGGATCCAAATCTCAGCCTTTCCACTTCCTGCTGTAGGGATTTTGTGTCTCTATAAAAACTGCTTTTTTATAGTCATAGGTGCAACCTAGTGAATACATATTCCTGATAGCAAAGACATTTTGCTTACTACATGAGTCCACCACTTGCTAGTGCTGTGCTGAGACCTGGGGGTGGCTCTGTGAGAGCCCTGCCCTCTTGCATTTGACAGTGGGCCCAACACAGCATCTCTACCCCCAGCATCATTTCCCCTCTCTGACCTGAAAAGGTCACTCTTTCCTGTAGAGTTGAGTTTCCTGCTATCTGCTGGGGGGGGGGGGGGAGAGGAAGAGGAGGAGGACCAGGAAGAGGAGAAGCTAAACCTGACCCTCAAGCATGTTCTGAGCCATAGTTTCAGAGCAAGCTGGAGCCAGAGGTCGGCAGGGGTGGCACTAGGGCATGAAGTGGTGAGTTGGCACCTTCGGGACCCTTTATCAAGCTGTCCTTGCACCAGAAAGCCCAGAGAGCTTGCTGGTGATGATCTTACTAGTGTTCCAAAGCTTCCTGAGGGAGGAGCAAGGCTAAGGGCAGAGCAGAAAGCACTGGGGTGTGCTTGCATTGACAGCTGCTGGTGTCTGGCTCAGGATCACAGGCTACAGGGGTGGCAGGCAAGGTGGTGCTGAAGACCCAGCACCCCTGCCTAGGGACCCATGGCCAAGTTCACCAGCACAAACTCAACAGAGCTGCTTTTGCTAAACCAATAGTGCTCATGGTGGCCTGCTAGCTGTTTTTCCATATGGTCGCCCCTTTCCTCACTCCCTAACTTGAAAATCAGGATTCCTAATATCATTCGCTAAATGGGGAAACTAGGCTCAGAGGCGTGAAGTGGCTTGGCTAAGGTCACACAGCTCCATCCTAACAGGGTACAGGTTCCCCTACATGTACCCATCACCCAGCAGGTGTTGCAGCGACTTCCAATCCAGGCTGGCTAATACTAGGAGGAATCAAGTGAGGACCCACCTGATCACAACCTGCCTCCTGCATCCCTCCAGCCTGGGAGGACAGGGGGACAGCACTCTCCAGTACCTCAGAGCTCAGGAAGATGGGGAAGGAAAAGGATGGGAACCTCCCACCATCCTTACTGGGTGTTCACTCGTGTATCAGATGCCTCTTTTCCTTCTTTTAAACACCGCCTTTGACTCCATTACTTGGGTCTCTATTGCTCCCCACTGATTCTGGGCTGTTCCTCCCAGTGTTTTCCCTTCCTTTGTCAGACGTCTCTCCCCTTTCCTCCTACTCCCCCTTCCCCTCTTCCCCCCTTCCCGTCTTCCCCTCCACCCCTCGACTTCTCTTTGTCTCGCCCTCCTTTCCCTCGAGCGCCCTCCCTGCGCGCGCGCTCCATCTGCGCCTCCAGCTCCATCCCCCGCCTCCCCGCCCCCCACCTCCCTCCGCCTCGGGGCCGCGGCTCCCCCTTCCCTCTCCGCTCTTGCTCTCCGTGATTTATTACTTGCCCTGCTGCTTCTGACAAACTATTTGTAGGAAAATGAGATTTGGTCCGCCCTGGATGGCTCCTCTGGGAGGCAGGCGTGGGGGTCGGGGGTCGGGGCCCCCGTGCGGTGCCCCCACCGGAGCCCACGGCGCTTACGGAGCTCTTTAAGATAAATGAGCAAAATTAAGAGACTCACTGAGGGAAGAAAACACTGGTGGCAGCGAGCGAGAGCTGATGGTACATGGTTTCCTCCCAGAAAGGCACCCACGTGCGCCACACGGGGCCTCCCCCATCTGCCGTGGACTCTAGGGAACTCCCTCCCCGCTAGAAGAACTTCCAGCCCGGGCGTGCTTCTTCCTTCCCCAGGCCGTGGCGCTGATGCAGGCTGAGACCTCTTAGCAAGGTGCAAGCAACAGATTGGGGGAAGCAGCAGGTCTCCGGAGGTGGCCTGGGAGAGGGCCCCGGGGGAGGGGAGGGGCGGGGCAGAGCAGCGGATGGGTGGGCAGTGAGATGGGCTGCGGGGGCACCGGCATGGACTTGGGGGACTCGGTTGGGAGCCGAGGCTTCTTCAGCTACACCCTGATCCCAGGGCACCGCAATAGGCTTCCTGAGCTGCATCCTGATAGCCCCACCTCAGAGGCTGCCCCCAACTGCTCTGCCTTCTGGGAGCAGAATTCTTGGGTTCTCAGGGGAGAGGTGGGGCTGTTTGGTTTCCCAGATTAGGGCCAGATCAGTTGGCCTGAAGTATTCCTGAAAAGCAGGTGAATGCTTGAGTAGGAGTGTGTCTTGTAAGCCCCAGGCTCTGTTGGGATGTGCAATGGAACCAGTTTCTTCAGAGTATTTTATTTTTCTTCTTTTGAAAAAGCAATGCACTTCTCTTTTTGACAAGCACTCAGACAGCAGAGATATGTGCGTGGAAGAAGATAGCTACGATGCAGCTCCTAGGTGGAAGACTACCACACCATCACACTCAGCAGGGGAGGCCCAGGTTCCAGCCCCAGCAGAGAAATAAAACACAACAAGGAAGGGTATAAGCAAACAAAACAAAACAAAACCCTGCTATCCTATTGATATCCCACTATCTGTCCTATATTACAAGGTTGGGGATTTAGCTCAGCAGCATAAGCCCCTGCCTGGCAAGCACAAGATCATGAGTTCAATTCCTGGTATCAAAAAAAAAAAGATTATATTACAAACATTTTTGGCTTGATTTAGCTACTTGACGTTGTGTTATGAATGCTTTTTACAGCATATAAAATATTTGTTCTAAAACAATTTTAAGTGAATGTGGTGTTTCACTGAATGTATTTCTGTGTGTTATTATTTTTAACAGGGCCTATATTTTCATTCAGTTTGTAAACGTTTGCTCTTATAAAGATATACAAACTTTAGCATTTACCGAAGAGATCATCTTATTTTTAAAAATCAATATCAGTGATAAAACAATGTATTTCACCTCTCTTTTGCTTCCTAAGGACAAGTTGTGACTTATTCCTAACACCGTGGTTGAGAGTCCCCTGGGCTTGGTATATATTCCCATCCTAGATCTTCAAGAAAAGGCAATCTGAGAATGTTCTGGAAGAAAAGAGGTGGCTAAAGTTTCCATTGTCTTAAGAACCAAAGGCAATATGGTGTTTGAAGATAAAGATTACGCAATTTGAATCTAAGACATTTATAAATAAAATGTATGCTAAATTACACTGGTAG